TTTTTAATGGAGTTTTGGAACCCATGACTTCTTTTTTTACTGAATTCTGTAAATATTCTTTAGTTCTAAATCCTTTTAACAAGTAAGTCAATTCATCTTGTTGAAAAAAAAATGTAAGAGTTTGAACAACCTCTCTTGGAGAAAATTATCTGGTTTCTGGGAGTGACTAACAAAGAACCTTCAATGGAAGAAAAAGTAGTAATTAAATTGTCCATAAAGGAGAGTGAAAATCATTGGTTTAAAAGCCATTTTTGATCCACATAACAGAAATAAGATTTTTGCTTATTTATTTACTTGTAAGTATTTATATAGAAGACATAAATACCTAATTCTATTTAAAAACCTGCTATGCAGTTTTACTACATGATACTTTGTCAGTAATAAAAATAACTTTCAAACACTTATAAAATCCTTTTGGTGTTATACAAATTAGGGAATTTTCACACTAGATTTTCTAACTGAATCAGTTTTTTTCACTGTGCTTCTAGCACTTAATACTTTCCTGTCTCACAGTCTTATTTTTTCTAATACATGGACTCTGAGGAAGCACTTCTCAAGTCCACTGTGGTCTTCTGCTGCTGTTCTTTTTTGATGACCCCACCTGCTTAAGGCAACTCACCGATGCATGAATGCTGCAGACTCATCTCCAAATATTTAATAAGATTTTGTACGTGTGTGAAAACTTCTCTTTCAGTCTGGGAATTTCCTAATGATTGTGCTGGATACCAGATTAAGAATATACTTCTTGAAGGAGGTGAAATCAATATCCACAATAATTTTGAAAATTTAGACTTTACTCATGGAAACTCTTCAGTGGCTTTTTAGCTTTTCAGTGTATCAAGATTAATTTTTGAATAGGGTATCAGAGAGGGTGGGAGCAAACTTACATTCTCTCTGATTGAGAAATATTAACTTTTTTTCCTTGCAGGCTGCTATAGCAGGAGGAACCACTATGATCATTGACTTTGCAGTCCCTCAGAAGGGCTGTTCTCTCATTGAAGCCTTTGATACATGGAGAAGTTGGGCAGACCCTAAAGTCTGTTGTGATTATGGCCTGCATGTGGCAGTTACGTGGTGGAGCAACCAGGTAAACAGAATAGCTGATTTTCAGTTCCACAAATGGGTACTGCGCCTGCTTTGAATTAGTCCTCACGTGCTAAATATAGCTTGCTGGTACTATAGTAGTATTTTTGTGAGCAAAAATTACATTTGAAATAGTCCACACCCTCCTAAAAGTATGTGTATTTTACAAAGTAAAATGAGTCTGCAGATAGTCTGTATTTTTAGATAACACCGCACAAAGTTAAAGGAAGCAGTTATGCAAGACTAAGAGCAGGCAGGCCAGAGGGGGCAAGAGGTGTTTGCATAAATTTTGCTTTCTGTTACTTGAACACTTGATAATCTAGGCTCCTGTTGAGTCTTGGTGTCCTTTTTTTCTTTAATAAGGATATACAGGAAAAATATGGTCATTAACTACATTTGTAAAGGAAGAGTTATATTCCTGGGTAACTGCAGTAATATCTCCTTAAAGTAGGACTAGAGCAAATACTTACTTGAATATGAGATTGTCTAAAAAACCTTTTTGGAATTTACATATAGGAGAATCATCCCTTTGTGAATGTTTACTGATCGCCTGAAAACTTTACTGAATAAATTAACTTTTGAGGTGCTTTGATAGCTATCTGAACCTGATCCAGCTTTTCCAAGACCACTTTGAATCCTCAGAGACAGTCCATCAGTACATAGATATATCCAGTAAATTCCATTTTTAAATATGAGTACTTCCTCTAATTTTTAACTTTTAAGATATGTAAACCAAAGCCTTCACTCTGCAAACACCCCACCATGGTATTCTGTGCACTAAGCACTAAATAAACTGATCGCAACTTTTAGCTCAAAGCAAAGACATAGAATACATTCTCCAGTGAAGTCTGAGGAATGTGCATGTGAAACAGCCTTAGTAGAGAACAGTGGAATTGTTTTGAAAAATCCAGTAAAACTAGAGAGATGTAAATCAATGAAATGTTCTGGTTTATGTTAAGAAGTTAACTCTTTTTAAAGACCAAGAGTGAAAGAAATAGAGAAGTCTGATGCTTTGTAGCTGTAAAAGACCTAGGTAAAGAAGACTGATATTTAATGCCCTTCTAACTAGCTATCATCTCCTCAGGTTTTAAAGTACTGGTTGAAAGCATGCTTTCTTTACAATGCCTTCTCTTAGTCATAGTAATTAATAAAGAAAATAAATTACATGCCTCTATGTTTGTGCCAGAGCAGACCCTTATGCCAGTTATTTATTTGTTTGATAATTCCCACTCAAGTTAGGCTCTCATCCTTCTTCTGGATAAGTCCAGAAAATTTTCTTGAGTTTTCCATCAACCTCCTACCTTTCTTGAGCAGATCCAACCAGATTATTAGAGATAAGATGAAAAACAATGTTTTAATTTTTGAAAATAATGAATCCCATGGAAATCATAATAGCCTCACAGGTACACATGGATTACTGTCACCATTGTTTTACTGGGAAGGAAGAGCTAAAGTTAGGTAATAGATATTTCTAGCTAACCAGCTGTACAAGAAACCTTTGTGCTAAAATCTACATCTTTCTTTCTTTCTTTGGGACATAGTGTTTTTTTGGGCTTCACAGAGCCTAGCAGAAGCAGGGAATCCTATCAAGGAGTGCATATAAGAAAAAAAAAACAGGCTGATATCCAGAGTTTTAGAACCATTTTGTTTGATGACAAAATATCTCGAAAGGCTGTATATTTTTTAGTCAGAGCAAAGCTCTAGGAGATAAGATCTTTTCTGTCACTCTGTTATTTGCCAGAAGCTGAAGCCTATTATGATTCAATTTTGAAAATAGATTTTGCACTAATATTCTTACTTGTGCAAGTTGGATGTATTGATTGCAATATTAGACTGGATGATGTCAACGTTAGGGCATTTATTGGAATAAAATTCTGCTTCAATATTTTTTGTAAAAAACATTCCCTTCCTGCAATTAACTAGTGCCTCCAGTATCTTCACTGCAGTGGTACTGGTTTAAATACTTTGACAATCATTTTGATACAAGAAGAATAGCATAAGTCAGTCATTAAATATGTGAATAGGGCTGTTTGGACTGAACATGTGTTTGTTGGGTGAGTAAAGGCTCTCACTCTTCGTTCTTACATTTGCTTTATAGAAAATTATTAATCAGTAAAACACGATATTGCTATTTTTTGAAAAATGCTGGCTGCCTTTCAGGTGAAGGAAGAAATGAAAAGTCTTGTTCAAAACAAAGGTGTCAACTCCTTCAAGATGTTTATGGCCTATAAAGATGTATATATGGTCAATGATGAGGAGTTATACACGGCCTTTTCCTGCTGTAAGGAACTTGGAGCAGTTGCTCAAGTCCATGCAGAGAATGGGGAGCTCATTGAACAGGTATGCATTTGACTTTTTGTCCATCAAAGTCAGGAATATAAATGGCCCCATAATCTAAGTACTTCAATAGGTATGTTAGTACCGTCACTGTACCAGGGAAAAGCATTTCTACCCTATTTTACTTCCAGGGAACTGAAGACAAACATCTTGTCCTAAAAGGTGCTTGTGGTGGGCTAACAAATTGTAACCTGGAGTCCTGGGTTTGAGGTAGATAGGGGGAAAATGCTATAATGAGAGTTATACTTGCAGTATAATATATACACCTGTAATATAATATGTATACTTGAATGACAAAGAAAGCAATAGGCAGAACCTGACTATCGGCCAAGTCAAAGGTTGAGCACTTGGCCAGGTATTTAGATGTCGTGTGTATGATGCCTAACCCTAGGTCTCTCCAGACATAGTCAGCTCATCTAACTGAAATGAATCCAGAAGTTTGGAGAAGGCTTCACTGACTGAGCACAAAAGTCTCAACATCACTTTGTGCATAGATAGCTTCACTTCACACTTGCTACTGTCATCCTAGTGCTGTGTGGAGGCACTAGGAGTATAACTACACTGGTGTTTTTGAGTTTCTTCAACTATTCTAGTCAACAGTACTTTGATTCTGTCCCAGGTCCCATAACAGAAATTAATTTATTGCTAAGTAATCTCAAATCAGCAAAGCATAAGTTCCTGGAAGGGACAAAATCTTACACCTCTTAAAATCTTGGAGCCTCAGTTAGAGGTTCGCAATGTGTATCTTTGTGGTTAGTAAGGATCTTTCCAGTTTTTTTTTCCAATGTGGAGTTAGTACGGCCATCTCACTTACTGGCTGCAGTCATTTAAGAGTAAATGTGGAGAGATGGTAGAGTTTTCAAAAGTGATTATTTATCCCTGCAAAAGAGATGAGTCTGTTCTCTGAAGTCAGTTAGGTATTTCAAGACCTGTATTTAATGAGAGATATTCCAAATTTCACATAACACAACAATAATTTATCTCAAAAAAATCATACCTGCTTTGGTTGTTGTTTTTTGTTTTGTTTTGTTTTGTTTTTTCTCAGTCTAGCTGCAGTGGCTGATTTAGGATGTATTTGGCTGTCAGCATGTTCACAACACCATGACTGTTAACTGACTCTAATTTTTTGTGTCACGATCAGGGTGCAAAGAAGTTGCTGGCAATGGGAATAACTGGCCCTGAGGGGCATGAGCTGTGTCGTCCTGAAGAAGTGGAAGCTGAAGCTACACAAAGAGCAATTACCATAGCAAATGCTGTAAACTGCCCCCTCTATGTAGTCCATGTAATGAGTAAATCTGCAGCAAGGGTGATAAGTGAAGCCCGAAGACAAGGTAAAAGTCTTAACTCTTCTATGCTTGGGCAATGGCATTGGAGGAAGGGTAATGGAAAACTAAAAATAACATCAGTGTCCTACTTGTCATAGGTGCCATAACCCTCAGAACACGGGTGAATTTCTTAGAGTGGGATGACTAAACTCTTTGTGTGTGTTTTGTGAGGCCCAAGAGAAGCTACACAGTGTGGAAGAGCAGCAAGTAGGATTGAGGCTTTCCCCTCTTCCCAGAGCAAACTTTTTCTCCTTCATACTGTACCTCCCAGGTGAAAGTGAGGGCCAGGACAGCATTATTGCATTAAAAATTGTGTGACCAGTCCAAGACAATATATACTCTGCCATTTCTTTCCCTTGAGTTATAGTCTGCAAGCCTTTGCCAGCTATTTAGATGAGAAATTCTACGACAAAGACCACACCATGTTTTTACAGACAGTGCCACAACATGAACAGAACTCCTATTCCCAGAGAACTTAGAAGTCATAGTGATGATGACTCCTTATCTGTAAGTTTATCCAGAGCAGCCTGTGAGGAGGTAGTATATGGGTGGAAGAAGCAGGGCAGAAGCCCATGATTTGGAGGGCACAAAAGTTTACGGAGTTATCTGCCCTCGTTATCTTTTTCCATCTCAGCTTGTGTTCATCCAATGTAACATGAATTGCATATAGATCCCATTTTCCTTATTTCTTGGCTTTAGGTCATGCATACACAGGGGACGTGCATTAAGATCAAAATGTGGAGTACGAGAGCTCGACAGAAGTGCAATCAAAACCAGCATGATTATCATTGTGCTAATATAGATGTATATGTTTATGTGAAATATGTATTGGTTATGACTTCTAGTAAGGTTTATCAGTAATTCACATTTATGAAATAATCTAATTGAATATTTGGATCTTTTGATACTGCCCTAAATTAGATTCCTCCACTAGATGACAGTGCTGCTAGTAATGTGGATTATATCTGTCAGGGTATAGTTTTGTGTACATTCACAGGTGCAGTGTCAACAATAACTAGAGAAGGCTGGAACAATAATTAAAATATCCTGGTTAAAAACTTCTATGCTGATAATAAATACTGTAAAATATTGTTAGGCATGTGCTGTAAGAATAGTCTGCTGTGCCAGTTTGATAAATGACCTGATATTTGTATACTTCTTCAATTTGTGTAAAAGGAAGAAATTGGTACAACTTGTGCTTATTGTGGTGCAAACTGCATTTTATGGGGATGATGCAGTAAGAATCATCAGTGCTTGCCTCTGTGCACAGCAACGTCTGACATCTCTCCATAATTAATTTCTATTTGCATGGAAGCATTACTGTTTAGAAAACAGAAATATAGGACTGATTAAGAAATTTTGAAAGATAGCCAGTGTACCACAAAGATAGTTACAGCAATTATTGTTTTTAATGAGGCTGATCTGTATAAATTCTGGCAATTAGAAATTCATTGTTAGTTTCAGTAAAAGTTACTTTCTGTTATTCAATGAAAAGTGGTAATACAAAACAAGGAGTTCCAGACAAACTAAACAAATTATCAAAGTGTTGTATGAGTGATATAAATAAACCCCAAAGATTTTCCTGAAAGATATTAAACTTTGACAGGTTAAAACCACTCTGATGTGAAAGCTGTGTAAATTCTTAAAACCAGAAGGCTCTCAGGCATTTGAGATACTCACTCTAATGCAATTCATTCATCTTTTTGATTTCTCCATTTCTTGATGCTACCTTCCTGCTATTTACAATTGTGAATTTTTTCGTCTTCCTTTCCAAGCAGTTAGCATGAAGTAGAATGTGTGGGTACATAATCATCCTTGCCCATGTCAGAGGAAGATTGATTTCTCTTCCTATTCCACCACTGACCTCAGAAGGGGAGAAACTGATTTTCAGTGAGTGTAATCTATTTTCTGGGTGACAGTGTGATGCTAGAATTGAAGCATTTATTCTCAAATTCTGTGGGATGTTGATTTTGCTAGTAAAAAATGCAAGTCAGAGCCCAATTCTTCTTTGTCCCTCATTTAGCTATACAAGGTGTAAAATAATATTAGAGCTAGAGACCGAAGACCTAATACAGTCTGATGAAGGCAGTAGCCAGAATTCTGTTGTCTTCAGTGAGCTATGACTCAGACCTTAAAGGCTAAAACCAGTCATACAGACTGTAAAGGGATACTAATTCCTATACTAGAATAAGTAAATTTTAGGTGAATCACATGAGTTACTGTCTTTCCTTCTCCCCTATGCTATAGTTCACTACCTATGTCTGCTCTGATCTCCAGCAATACCATTCACCAAAGGAAATCTCCAGATTGTAGCAGCATGTTTTTCATGTATATCATGGCAACTACAGTGTTGCTGTATATTCAGCAGGCAATCCAAGATTGCCACTTTGTGACTGTGTTAGAGAGGGACACGTTAACTGATGTCCCCATCCTGTTCGTTTTTGGGCCCTACCAGTCTGTTTGCCAAAAATAATGTTTTACCAATTCTCCACTTGCAAGGGTCAAAGACTTCAACTCTCTGTGAGAACTGTTCTTGTTCTCAGTGGGCTGTTTCTTCATCTCTGTGCAAAATGTGATCTTGAATCTTGCTAGAATAGGTAGAGGAACTGTCTGCTTCCACAGAAAGGCAGTGTCATTCCCTTGAGTGGGAAGACAAAGAGGATCATCTTCCTGCTATTGTGTAAAGTTTTCCCTCCAATGAGAAGATAAGGCTGTAGAGTGCTGGTGTCAGGCAGTGCAGCTCCCTCTCCTTGTTGGGACTACCTGATGGGAACCTACTAGGGTAAACCAATGTACCGCTGTCACCCATTCTTTTGGCCAGTAATACCTGTGAGGAAGCAAGGCTAATAAAATGTGATTTAGGGATGTATGATTGATACTGCCTCCCACTTAAAAAAAGCTTTCATTATAAGTGTACCAAAAGATATATATAGATCATGTCCCTTTGCCCATTTATCTGTGCTGTTGCTGCTAAGGAAATAAAACTTTGTAGTGCAGATCATGACTGGAGAGGAGAATCTTACTAACAAGTCATTTTTTTAACAGAAGTTTCTCCCTTTCAAGAAAGTGCATACAAAAATATGTACTCGGTCAAGTTACAAGAAGTTTGCTTAGACTTAAAAAGTTGGTACTTCCTACCATCAGTCATGGCTTAGGTCTGCTCTTAGTGAGAGGAAGGGCATGTCCATAGCTAGGGGTATACAGATTCTCAAGCTGATTCTGAGCACAGAAGTGCAACTGAAAATGCCAACTTTTTAGTTGGCTCATACAGGAAAACTCAGGTCCAGACTGTAGATAGCCTGACTGACGCAATGCTATGCCTGATTCAATAAACCCTGCCTTGCAGTTCTACTTCTTTGAAATCATAGCTGCTCAATGAGATTCTTTGCCCCATATGACCTTATCATAAGTGCTTCTGAAACTTGTACTAGAATAAGCATACCGGGACCAGTTTTTCAAGCCTGTAAATGTTAGTTGGTGTTTCTCAAGATTAGAACTCTTTTTGAGTTCTGGCAGGTGATAAAATAATTGCAACTGCATGTTCTTCTTTGTCATAAAGTAATTTATGTGAAAATAGATCTTGCCAGCCGGTTTGGGCACCTGATTAAGAAGTCTCCAAATCCACAGCTATTTCCCAGCAGCTCAGAGATGTCATAAAGACCAAAGAGCAGGACACTTTCTGCTTACTGTTCTTATTGAATGCAGGAAAACCTAACAAATGGAAGTACTTGATTTATTCCTGCATTACTCCACTTTTATGCCTATAGGCAGAAGCCAGTCAAGCTAGAAGAACCTTAATGCAGAATTTCCTGATTGCTAGTTTAACTGAAAGAGCCTTAATGCAGAATTTCCTTGTTATGTGGATTGAAGCAGATCTTAATGTTATTGTACCCTTCAGTCTGGCTATTCCCATTCAAATTTAAATGCAAGAAATAGCACAGTCAGCAGAAGTGTCCAGATGTAGTCAGTTGAGGCTGCAATATTCAGATTCAAAATCACTTGAGGAAATGGCTTACACACTTTCCCACTCATGGGAACAAGGAGAGCTGCTTAGGTCAAATTCTGACTGCAGAAATACTGCCATCAGCTGTGGTACACAAGTTAGAATCAACTCAACATATACAACTATGAGCTTGGAGACTTCATTTTTGTGTTGTGAAATATAAGGAAATTATTTATGGAAGCTAGACATTTATTCCTTTCCTACCATTTTTACTGTTATAAATTATAGCTATGATCTAATGATTCATAGTTTGGGTTTACTTTGGATAGAAGTTTCTTTAACTTCTTCAGATGCAATTTGAAAGACATATGCCACTTCCCCCTTCCCCCCAACCCTCTGCCTTTCTACTGAATTTGCTAATGAAAAATCTGTCAAAAGCCTAATATGTAAGTGTAGGGTACTGGTTATATATTCAGGACTTTTTCTGTATATATCTAGGTTTGTGGCAGCCTGCCCTTAAATACTGTGCTTGGAGTTTCCCAGGGAAGGCCAAGATCTCCCTGATTTCTGGAACCGGCTCTGAATTAAGAAAACGCTGATCTAACTTGAACCTCTTTATTCACTCAGTGGTCATATCACTTCCATGGATGGCCTCATATTCAGTGCTCTAAACTTGAAAACAATATGCAAAATCCAGTAATTAACAGCTTTAGTCATGATTTCAAGTCCAAAAACTTGTGGTCTCCCTCTGAGCCCAATTGTAAATCTATAGTATATGAAGATAGGAGGGACTAGAATCTTAACACGCTCCAAGTCAAAGAGCTAGTATGAGAAAAACACGTTCAGCATGTCAGAGCATGATAAGGTGGTTATAGAAAATTAATAATGCTAATAGGGAGTTTTGGAAAAACTTATACAATGTAGTACTTGGAGTGCATGTCCAGTACAGTAGTGTCAAACAGGTCTTGAAACCTTCTAGAAATAACTGTAGAACTATGGGTTTTAAATGGAATGAGGCCTTTTTGCAAGTCTAAAACAGAAGATTTAAGGAATGCTACTGCTACAGTGGGAAATATATTTTGAAAACTGAGCTCCTCAGCAGCTACCTAATCTAGTGTAGCAGTTATAATCCAGTATAATCCAGCTCACAGAAGTACCAGATTCTAATGTACAAAGAGAAATCTGCAATGTTTGCTTTGTTATTTTCCAACAGCACTATGTTTGTATGTCTGAAATATAGAAAGCCAGAAAATGGTCACTGTCTTACATCACCAAGCAATTACCCACTGAACCCTTGCTGGGGTAACACAGTGATAACTGTAATAAAAATTGTTTCTGGAGTGAAATCTGGGATTCATAGTGAGATACTCACTGTCTGTAGGGAACAGAGAAGGGGAAAAGCTCTTGCTGGGATCCAGCAGAGGCAAGCAGCACCAAGAAGCCTATGAGAAGATATGTGAGGTCTCAGATTGCTCTGGTTCTTTGATGACCATCAGAGTAAGGGGCATTACCACCTGTTACCTACTGAACTGCAAAGTGGCTGAACTGCCACCTCAGGGAGTGAAACATCTTTTTTCACCTCCCATCTTGTTCTGATAAGTTTCAAACCCATGTTTCCTAGGAGGAAAAAACAGTTAAAATATGATAACTCTTATCCAAAAGCCAATAACTGGTCTGGATTGGTGTCCTGTTCTGAGGAATCTAGAACATTGTGCAGCAAAGAATTAAAGATGAAAATCTGGGAGATAACTTTTTAAATTAGATTTTTTATAGTTTGTGATTTGAGAAATGTTTTTACACTTGTTAAATTTATGTCTGGTGCCATATTGTCCTTCCTGGAACAATTATAGACTGACAATCAGAAGCATCACCTTGCAAAGTCTGTATGCTGTATATATTAACTTACATTTTTGCACAGTCAGTAATTTCAGAGCACCAAACAGGTGTTACCAGGAAATATATGGATCTTGAACATAATTGATGCAACTGGCGACTGTGTTCCTTTTGAAATCTCAATCACATGCCTGGTAAAAAATATGTAAAACCCATTATAATATATCTCTCAACAATTTAATTAGAAAACTTGTCCAAGCAATATTCTTATGAAGAAATATATTGAGAAATTACCAGCAGAATATTCAGAACAGAAATGCTATATTAGCAATTGCATTATTATATCCTTCCATATGTTGGTGTTTCATTTGCAACATTAAAATTTAAATTCACGGTGGCCAAAAAGATCTGGAACAGAGAAAATAAAACTGTGGACAAAAAGATCTGGAAGAGAGAAAATAAAAGATGCTTTTTTTTTTTTTAATGTGGTTTAATGATTAAACCATTGCTTTACATTTTTCAGGAAAGGTGGTTTATGGGGAGCCTATTGCTGCTGGTCTTGGAGCTGATGGCACCAACTACTGGAATAAAGACTGGGCTCATGCTGCAGCATATGTCATGGCACCTCCACTGAGACCAGATCCATCTACTCCTGGTTTCCTCATGAACTTACTGGCCAAGTAAGCAGATGAACGAACAGTGATGGCTGATGCCTAAAAACAGAGAAAATTCTGACTGGAGTATATAATAAGAGATTGATATCCTGGAGATTTTCTAAGTACAGAATGTTATGTTATCAGGAAGGAGAAATGGGAGATGAAACCATAGATTAGAAACACATTTTATTACAGAAATTAGAAAGAGCTCAGATTTTGTTTCTCTGAACTCTTGTGGCTGTCTGTCCTCATTTGATTTTACTCAAAAAGCCTTGCCTGGCTAATACTGCAGAGAAAAACCCAACAAACAAACAAACAAAAAAACCCAACAAAAAAACCCAAACATGACCAGGGGGACACTAAGGCTGTAAGTCCATGGGAAATGTGTAAAAAGTGGGGTCACACCTGGGGGTTCTGGGTTTTGTTGTCAGCTTACCTTTTCACTTGAAATTTGTATGCTGCATAAAAACTAATCCTGCTGACTTCTGAAAGTGGATATAAGTTGTCCTCTTCATAACATTTCCTTCAGAAGGAAGTAGGAACAGAAGTATCTTTCAGATATCTGCAGTTAACAAAATGTATGGCTCGTTGGTATTTCATTACCCATAAAGCTTAACTCCACAAAAAAGCTGATTTTGACCAGAGAGTCTGTGAAGGCATGCCTGAACACTGGCTGATGGTCATGCAGACCCTTAGTAATTTCACAGGGTATATGGAGTGATACAATATAAAATTGCCCTGAGTGTGAATGGAACTAAGCCCCTTGCTCTGGGCAAAGTGGAGTGGTTCTCCATTTGTAGGACATCTTTGACTTACCAAAAGTGTTATTTCTAGTGCTTGTTTCCTTCTGAGAGTTTTCTGAAGAGGTAGCTTCTTCACAGGGGAACTGGCTGTTACTGTGCAGCTACTCTTGGAGGATGGAACTGAAAACAGCTGAAAGAGCACATTTGTATTTCCTTGCAGGATAGCTGGATCTACCCAGCCTACCCCACCTGGATGCAGTCCTGTGCAATGTGCTCTGGGCAATCCTGCTTTAACAGGGGAGTTGCACTAGATGATCTCTAGAGGGCTCTTCTAACTCTGACACTTCTGTGATTCCAAGAGATTTTCCTATGTGGCACTGTCTTTTACATGCTAGAATTGAAGCATAGTAAATTTTGTTTCTCCATAGCGATGACCTATCTGTGACAGGGACTGACAATTGCACCTTTGACATATGCCAGAAAGCTCTGGGGAAGGATGACTTCACAAAAATCCCTAATGGAGTGAATGGTGTGGAAGACAGGATGTCAGTTATATGGGAAAAAGGCGTTGTAAGTATATTAACATATCTGAACATAGAGGTAATTATTTATGCATCAAAATATAATCTTTCAGCTGTTATCAACTCTACAGTTTTATCATAGAATAACTCCTTTGTTCAAATACCACAACAAAGTCCTTACTAACTCACTTTATGGTCCTGGAAGATGAAAGAAGATTCTAAGTGCATAAAATTTAGCACTAGAGAATAATTTCTGTAATTTAGCAGCAAAGGACTGCTATTGTTTCAGCAGTAGTGCACAGTACATTTACTTGCAGCGTTTTTTTCAACAGATGAATGGAAAGGAAAATAAAATAAAATGGAAGAGGTGCCCACAGTTTTGCCTTGGTCAGTTCTGGTTTTTTTCCTCTTTGATCTCTCTCAAACTTAGCTGTTGGAGGAGCTTCCACAATGGTCGACTTCTAATTCACATTTGCAGACCAAGGAAACAATCTAGAGATAATAAATTCTTCTCTAATGTATGGCTCAGTCCTGTGATATGTTAAGATGGGCACTTAAAAGCCCCATTGACTTCAGATTCTCGGTGCAAATACAAGAATGCTCTGTGCTTCTCAGGACAATGCTCTTCAGACATTAAAATAAAATATAGATATGAAAGCAAGTGGCCAGGTTATTTGGATATGGGGTAGTAAGAGAATTATCTTGGTTGGAAAAGACCTTAAAGATCACTGAATCCAACCATCAACGTAACACTTAAAAGTTCTTAACTAAACCATATCCATAAGTGCATCATCTATATGGACATTGGGGTTGTTGACTCCAGGGATGCTGACTCCACCACTGCCCTGGCCAGCCTATTTCAATGCCTGATAACCCTTTCAGTAAAGAAATTCTTCCTAACATCCAAGCTAAGTGTTCCTTGGTGCAACTTGAGCCCCATTACCTCTTGTCCTACCACTTGTAACTTCATTAAACAGACCAATCCCCACCTCTTTACACCCTTTTCAGGTAGCTGGAGGGAGCCATAAGGTGTCCCCTCAGCCTCCTTTTCTCCAGGCTAAACAACCCCAGCACCCTCAGCCACTCCTTGTAAGATATATGATGATGAGGGAGGAGGTGAGGCAATCTGGTGAGGGGTCTGCTGCTTACTAGCTTTGACTAATACAATACTGTTAAGTCCCAGAGGCTCTAGTTCAATTTTCTAATTAAGTTGTCTTGCAGTAGTTTATAATGTACTGTGAAGCATATTTGTCACAGAAGAATTATCTACCTCACACACTTGGTAAGGATGTGGTTCAGAATTTCTCTTGTTTATCTGTATTTGGGACACAAAGCAGATTCTGCCTATATTCACTTGTGGAATAGCTCTAGTGTGAGTATTTATGGTGTAAACTGGAATATAATTTAACGTGGTTAGTATGAAAGTCAGTCATGCATATGTACATCAGTTGCTGCTTTTGAATAACATATCCTGGTAAGTGAGATATTTATTCAAAAGGTTCTTCAACCAGGAATATCCTCCCTTTTCTTATTTGTAAAATATTACATAGCTGTGAGTGTTTGTCTGGAAAGCTTCCCCCACACCATTATTTAGAAGAGCAGTGTTCACCACTTTCATTATCCTCTTCTTCTCAGATGACTGCTCATAGACCACCACACAAACATGTTTTTACGTCATTCTGATTCCTAGACTGACCTATGCAAACAACAGTCTTGGAGGCTGGATGAAATGAGTTATGTATCAGTGGACAGTTTCAAGCCATATGTATATCTATTATTATTTGCTGTTTTGTTAATGTGTCACATCAGCATGTCTGATTTTTGTACCTCTTGATCTCTACATTCACTGAACAGTATTATCCTCTGTGTTATTGCCAAAGAGATTTGCAAATCACCTTTCCTATTTTACATGTTCTGCCTTGCCTTTATCATCTTCTAGGCTCTTCTTAATACTGTCTCACCATTTTCCAAAACATAAATACTTGAGAGATGTCTCTGCAGGAAAGTGCTGTGTAGAACTGCAGATTCAAAGCCAGCGGAAAAAATTGAGTTCAGTTGGCTTGGGACCAGATACACAGAGCATGTAGCTTTAAGCTTGTCTTTTTTTCCCTTTGCTCTGGGATAAAGTAAGATAAAGTTATCGTATTCAGTGAATCTACATTACTGTATGTGCATCTGAGACAAATAGTTATTTTTATTTATTTTAATCTCATCAGTAAGGCATTTAAAAAACACATATTGATGTGGTGTTGGCAGAGCTGTCACTCACCCTGGCCTTTTCAACAACAGGAACATTTTTTTTCATTCCTTGTTTAAAAAGTAATGAGTTTGCTTTTGTGTACTCTTCTGCAGTACAGTGGAACAATGGATGAAAACAGATTTGTAGCTGTTACCAGCACAAATGCAGCAAAAATCTTTAACCTTTACCCAAAGAAGGGGAGAATTGCTGTGGGTTCTGATGCTGACATCGTAGTTTGGGATCCCAAAGCTACAAGGTATGTATGGGTAATTATTTCCTTCCATCCAGGTTCTCTACAGGAAAAAATATCTCAAAGATGCTGTAAGCAGTAAGCCTTTGGCGTGAAGTTATGGTGTTTTTCAACAGTATTTCATGTGAATTATTTATAGGTTGTCTCCTACAATAGTGTATGTAAGGAGAGATCTTTGATCTCCAGGCAAATTTAAAAAAAAATTATCCTTGATTGCTGACTAAGAAGGAAAAATAACATAATCTGTACATTATGCTACCAGGGCTTGGTATCCTAAGAATAAAAATAACCACTCTGGGATCTTAGAGTAACTCTGTTAAGTACTGGAGTATGATTAGCTTACTTACACTGCAAAAAGCAAGGAGAGGAGCCTGTGTTCCTGCAGGTGCACAGGCTTCTGTTTGAACTTACAGCTATTTCAAACATATTCATAGGTAGTCAGGATGGGTGGTGAAAGTGTGGGGTCTTGCCCTCCTAATGTCTTCTCCCTAGCTGACAGAGCAAATACAGTGGTAGAACCAGGAATTAGCTTAGTTCTAAAGCCCAAGCTATGCATGCTTATGCTTTTGTTTAAGGAGTTTCCTGATTTTGTGCATAGGATGTCTGCTAGTGTAATTTATCACACCAACAAAAGGTGTGCTGGTGTCACCCTGCATGACTTGATGCTGTGGTAGATTTTTGCTGCAAAGGTCACTTCACGGTAGAGGAAAGTTTTGAAACATAACTGAGCAAATCTGATTTTGGAAGCCAAATGTAGAAAAAACAGCCCTAGTCCTAGATTTAATTTATACAATTTTTTTTTTCTTGACCAATCTTCTGGTTTATTGAATTTTTGATAATGCAATTCTTACTGATTTCAGTGTGTTAATGGTACCAAAACCATGTCAGAGTGAGACAAAAAGCATTCTGTGTTTTAAGCTGCAAAGCTTGAGGACATGGAGGTTGCTATTCAGAAGTCCCACAAAAAACTGGCAGCACCAGCAGAAGAAGTTTCAGGAGTGTCAACGCAAATAAATATAGAGGCCTCCTCAGTACTGGGTCAGAGAGATTTTCATGTGCATTATACCTTCTGGCATGTTGAGCAAGCATATTTTGAGGTACTAGCAATGAGCTATTTCAGGACAGTGGAGCTATGAACTCTGATTTTTTTTTTAAATGAAGGATTCTTTTCTGAGTTCACTTCTGCTCTGCCTGGGGACAAATGAATCTAGAAGGACAGCAGAATTCTGACATTTTCCTGAGATGCTTTGTCAGCTGCTGTAATTATTTATCCTTTTGCCTCCCTAACATTTATTCTGCCTCCCTGAACTCTCTCCTGAGTGCTCCAATTGCTTTTTTGCCCACTACAACTGTGAAGGTGCAGATTTTCTTAAAACATTATTTTCAAATATTAAACTGTATTTTCTTAGTAAGCAAGCTGATTTTAAGTTCAGCCAATACTTTTTCCTGATCTGGTGCTGTTCCCATTGTTTATCCCTTTGGCTTTGCCTGGAACAATCCTTTCTGCAGGTACAATTTGTGAACTACATGAGTAATTATAAATAAATCTCACTAATGCTTGTCTATTCATTTCACTACAAATCCTGAAGAGGGCACAAACAGCCCAGCAGAAAAAAAGGATCTAGCTAATGGACTTCAGCAGTTTAAGATATTACACAAGGTGCAGCCTCATGTGCTTTGTTGACTCTTGGGAGCGATTTTCAGTTTCACAATGGGTTTGTTCCTCTTTTGAGCACGACTTTTTTTCTTGTTTGTAAATCTAAATCTTGTAAGAAGAAAATGCAGTTTACCAGTTCTGATTCTGTGCTGTGTTGCTGTAATCTTAAAATACTGGCTGATACTAGCCTGAAGAGTTAGATAATTGCTGATGTTTTGCTGTGAGGAACTGGTATTATCAGAATCTGTCAGAGGAAGTCTATAAGGAAGATTCTGAAGTCACCCTGAAAGGTAGTGAAGCCCTTCAAAATACAAAAGCTTCTATCCCTACAGAATCGGCTGTGTTCCCCCTCCTACATCATTGTACAATAGCAGTCTCTTGGGTGCTCTCTGGGCATTCAGGATTTTTGCTTGCTAGATTGCAAAAACCTAGTGATTCAATGTGATAGCTCTGCAAGCTGGGAGCAAGTGCAATTCCAGGTTCCACTTCCAGTAGGCTGCAACTTCATCTGAGGCTTTCCTTCCACAGGTCAGCTTCATTGACTGCCCTGTTTCTGTAGTATTTTCTGATAATTTCTGCTGAAAATGTTATATGAACTGTTACCAGATTTGCTACTGTATTTAAGGGATTTCAGATACTGTTTTTAGCAGGTCTGCATGAAAGCAAGCAGTATTTGGAAAAAAACCACACAAAATGTATAAATTAGTTAGAAACTGCATTAGAAAAGATGGGTTGTGAGTTCTGGCAGGTTAGGTCTATTTCTTAGCCTCCTTGTACTCATTGCATATTCACTAAAGGACACAAAAATACCAGTGGGGCCTTTTGGTTTATTGCAGCTATGTGCTACCAAACATCGTCTCCCAGACCTCATCACCCTCAGCATCCCATGTACAGCCTGCACACACAGGATTGTTTTGTGAGAACTTCTTGGAAAAACACATGTAGGCAGCAAATGTGTACTCACTGTACCATCTTATTTTAGTCTGTGCTTTGATCAAGAATGTTCACTGAATTCTTTCAGCTGCACACAAGTAATATAGCAGCCCCAAGCCTGTGAAACAAAAGCAACTCTGAAGACTGTTCCAGAAGGAGAGAGCAGAATAAGCAAGGAAAAGGGAATGTCACCTGTCAGCAAGTCAGTGTCCTCTACAGCTGATGCCTTTGGCTATTTGAGAACAAGCAAGAATACAAAATCTCTGGGGCTTGTTTCAGAAATGCTCAAGCAAGAAATCTAAATACTGCAGCACCAAATTCAGATGGTCGAAAGAGCTGAGCATCCCTTGTAAAGAAGAGGCTAAAGGTGTTGAAGATCTTCTAAGAGACATTCAGCTCTTGGAAGACATTAGGGCTCAATAAACTCACGGTAGCCTGTCAGAGCCTTGCAAATAAGCCCTGCATCAGGCCCCAAAGACAAGATCAAACACTTTTGGGGATAAAAAAACCCCATCCCAAATGATGTTTAACTTTCTAAGTCCAGCCACTTAATTATAACAACATGCAGTCTGGGAAGCCTTACACATCAGGTTTTTTTCCACTCACTAAATACAGCCTAAAAGTTATCTAGTTTGGCAGGTCCAGTGTGTGCCCCACGTGTGCCAGTGGAGCTGGGCTCAACCCTGAGCACAGAATCAATGGCTGCAGTTCCAAGCACACAGCCCCTGGTGTGGGGTCCCTGGTAAGCAGGGAAGGCAGGACTCCTGAACGGAAGAGGAAAGGGAGGAAAAGGACATGTTGCTCTCTGATTTACCTGCTATGACATAACTAGGGAAGACATGGTTTCTAGCCTGTTTTCAGTTTTGTTTATGCATTTTAGGGGAAACGGTCACTTCATGCAAATCAGTAAGAAGTCAGAGTGCCTCAGTCTACTGGCATATATTTCCTCAGTGTCTTTGCTTGCATATAGATATATTAATGCATAAATCTTTTACATTTGTTAGATGCAAAATCTGCAGCCTATGTCTGTCTCATTTGTAGTCAAGTCTTCAGCCTCAGACACTTAAGTGGGGACAAGTTACAGCATTTAAGCACTCTTTGCCAAGCAACTGCCTGTAATTTTTCATGACATGAAAGAGGAATAAACCAAGATGTTAGCAGATGATTAGAATAAATAATGCTACAACTGTCTTACTCTTTTGATGAAAGAACATAATTCTAAACAGCGTGTGGATAACTGCATTTAGACACAATGAGGCAAAATGAAATAATGTGGCATACAAATGTGTATGCGCAAGACAAATATGTTCTGGCATTTTCAATTGCCCCATATTCTTTTGCACAAGTGCAAGCATGTGCATGCATGAATGTACACTAATTCAACTAGAATAAGAATTTGTCTAGAAGACCTGTTATCTCAAATTAAGGGGACATGGAGAAAGAAACAATAGGTAGAAACTAAAATTCAGGAAATTCCATGTGCACATAAGGAAGAACTTATTACTGCTGTGAGGGTGATCGGACACTGTCACAGATTGCCCAAAGAGATTTTAGAGCCTCCATCTTTGGAGACACTAAAAACACAACTGAACACACTCCTAAGCAACCTCCTTTGGCTGACAGCAATCAGAGCAGAGGGCTTGGAATAGATGATCTCCAGACATGCTTTTTAACCTCAATGACTCTGTGGTTCTGTGAGCTGTAACAAAATAAGCCTCTTTGAGAGAGCATGATGTACGTTTCCCTAGTAACTTTCTGTCTCACAAAATGTCAGCTACTCTCTTTAGAGAACTAAATCTTAGAATGTTAAAAAAAAAACCCTTTCTTATTTTCTCCTTATATAACCTTGCCTTTTTCTCCCCAGTAATCATTTCCAGATCTTCTTTTGTCATTGAATAGACTCACTTGTATTTTCCTCTCTTTTTATGCTTTTCTGCAAGCTTAATTTCTCATTACTGTTTTCCTGCCCATTTTACATTTTGACAATTTTCACTTCCATCCTATGTCAGCTTGGGATACCAGACTGATGGTATTGTTGACAAATTAGTTACTTATCATAATCAGAAAAATAATTTTGTTGTCATCCTCTACCCATTGCAAAGTGATGACTTTTAGGAGGTGTGATTCAATGAAATAAAGATCTCATCTTTCAGATAAGTCAATTTGTCTTGGAGCTCCCAAACATGAACTTCCTACCTCTTCTGACATCTGTTATTTTATCCACAGATCTCCTCACTTACCATAGATTCTCAAAGGCAATGTTTATTTAAAGATATTTTTAAAGATTCTAGGAATACAGCTCTATGAATAGTTGACTGCATATATATCTTAATATAAAATAGGTTTTTGTTTTGTTTTCTTTTTAATCCATGTTACAGGTTTATAGCTAGCATTTTTGCCCATAGATTTTAAGACTTTCTTCTTCTTCTTCTCTTTTGTCCCGTCCTTTGCTTTTCTTTTTGGTAAAACTGACTCTAACAAAGTTCAACTTAATGATCATTATAAATAAATGGTAGCTCAAGACAACACAGAGGGTGAACTATTGATTTTTTTTTTCCTAGATTTTAGGAAATCAGGTTAGCAGTGTGTAGAGCTCAAAGGCATCTGAAAGTGTTGTGAAGAGGCAACTCACAAAAGCTGATAGTATCCTCAGCAACCTGGCATTTCTCATCTACCCCCAGCTCTGAAAGACTTAGAGATACTCACTGTAAGCACTGAAAGAAGTTGCTTACAGCTCAAATACTCTTACAAGATTACCAGTCCTCACAAAGGCAGACAAAATCTGGTAATTCCTCTTAGGCTAAAATAATTGCTATTTGACTTTAACTTAGTTGGACAGAAGTACTGGTTTAAAAATAGACAATTTCAGAAGTAGTCTTCCTCTTTATTACTAGAGGTATATAATTTTTTATATTGATAGCCTAAAATCTCTTTTCAAGACAGGTGTATCAAAAGCATCTGAAGGGAATTACATGGAAAGGCTGGAACAAAACGGGGCCTGATGTCTTTGCAGTATCCTCTTTGTAGAGGAGAATGTTCTCTTAAATATCAAAGCAATCATTCTGATCTCAGTCCCTGGTTAAGAAAATGTAGTATGAAACAAAAGCTACTGTAATTTATAATCAGAATTAGATAATTTCACAAATTTTATTTAAAAAATCCAATTCTGGTTTTTGAAGCTTGGAGTCAGAATCTCACGATGAGCAATCCCTTATTCAGACATCATTTAGTATGCTGGAGGCAACTGTTATTTTATACTTCACTATCGTGGCAGTCTTGGTTTCTCAGATTGTAAGTGGTTACAGCCATTCTTGCCATTAGTCGAGTGTTCAGGCATTCATAGAAACATTGGAATTTTGCTGGGATTCCCAGCAAGCTGACTGCGACTGAAATGGCTGATACAGCAGTAAACAGTCTGTGCATAAGGATGCTGAGCTGTGAGCATCAGACGCAAGCATCCCTCTACTTCTGTTTTAAGTGGCTGCTCACTTGCTACCTGAAACTTTCACTGCCATTGATAATGTCAAAGGTTTCAATCATGGTCAAAATGTGGTGATCTCCATCAGAGAGAACGCACTTTCACCTTCAGAAATGGCAGTGTGATCTAAGGCTTGTTTCAACAGGAGTTATAAATGAGTTCTGTACAAGTGTGAGGTTGAGACAAGCCCAGGGAAATGTCTTTTGTCATATTGTAAGGTTTATCTGTACAAACAGATATTTTTTAAATGGCTTCCATTCATTTTGTATCTTCTTCGTGAAGAACATACCTCTGAGGCATGTTTACCGCCAGTCCTTCTGTTCTAGTACATTTAAACAGCTCACATGTTCAGTTGAAGGATCTTGCCTATTTCTCTGTTTGTTCAAACTACCTTTTCCATTTTTCTTTTCATGTCCCAGTGCTATTGTGCAAATAGATATGATGTATACCCGGAGAATGCTAAAGATAATTATATTGCAGTTGTTCTTACTTACTGTTCTAGCAATTAGACCCATAAGAGTAATGCAATAAGCTGGAGGAATATGTTCTCAGACTCTTTATAGGGCTCTTATGACACTCATGGATAAAGTTGACAGTATTCATAGGACCAGGGAATACAAGAGAGGTCTGGCTTCTTTCTATTTTCTCTTTACTCTGTGAATCTGCAAGTTGGTGCTGATACTGGTGAGCAGGCATGCATGTTTTCTGTCCCAGGTGTGCTGAATAAGGAAGAGTCCTTATTCCTAATGGAATTAGGAATTAGGAATTAGATTGATCATAGGAATCATTAGGAATTAGATTGATCAATATATGTAGCCTTTGAAAAGGGAGTTGCCACCAAGATTTAAATGTTGCCCTTAGCAGAACCAATTGATCTTAGTTCAACAGAATGATATGAAAGGAAAACTATGTATCCTTCCACAAATGCTTTTTTCCTCTGTGTAAGTATTAATTTGAAATATGTGATGTGATTACTTTTGAAAATGGCTATACTTCAATAAAAATACATATTTTGTTGTGTTTTTCTCATTTGCTAAGGATGTTAACTAAGGTTTTAGAAAATTCTTGTCCAAGTAGAAAATATTTTAATCTATTTACATTTCACATTAATTTTTACTTTGATATTTCTTTTGCAAAATATGTAATCTCTGGAATAATGTCAATTATATATATGATAGGTTTTTGACTCTATGAGCAATTCTGGAAAATTCTGACTGCCAAAAGCATGAAGCTTCCTTTCTTTCAGAAATTACAGATGACAACAAAAATATAAACTCTCCAAATTCTTAAGCCAAACCAAACCAAAAAACTGCAGATTTGAAACAGGAAGTTAATAATTATAAAAAAATAAAAATCTTGTGATCCATTTTAGATACAGTGGGTAGTAAGTAGCTCAGTAGGGAAAATAGATAATAAAAGAAGTATACACAGCCTGCACTTAGAGATGCCAAAGTCAGCTTTATCATTGGCTTAAACTTTAATATATCCAGTTAGGGTTGGAGACATTGGCTAGAAAAATGGTGATCGTAAAGAATGAAGTCTATGCATAAAAAAAGTAATAATACTATAGGCTCAAATGAATACTGTTGAGGTCTAAAATTATAATTTGCTTGATACCCTTGGAGGAAAGATATGTAGAGGTGTGATGTTTTTATTTTGATTTAGCAGCATCAAGATATTTGGGCTGTCAGTCACTAGATCAATTCAACTCACACTGAGTTACCAAAATTCATTACCATCTGGTGACTTGCCAGCAATGTGTTGTGAGTCTCAATCTTTGAAACACTGCTGCCATACTTTTCAAACTTGAAATTGCAAGTCATTCTAGCTAAAAGGTCAGAACTTTTTCTGACCTTATCATGCACAGATATTTGCTTGACAAGCCAGAATGAAATCATGTTGTCCAAATAAAATATTAGAACCTGATTTTTTCACACTAATCTCTTTTTGTGTTTCAGTGCTGCAAAGTTCTGTCCTTTTGACTCCCTCTTCATTCTTCTGAAATGCAATTACTGTTCAATGAAATGTTAATGCTCTACCCTATTTTTACAGCTGTTCCATAGCGTACTTGTACAATGTCATCATTTAATAATGCTGCTAAATTTTCTTCCTTTATCGATTTCTCAAATTTTTATAATGAAGTAAAATGTGAGGATCATAATAATTATGGGTGTTGTTTTGTTCGGTAAACACAGGACAATATCTGCAAAGACACATCACCATGCCAACAACTTTAATATATTTGAAGGAATGGTCTGCCATGGAGTCCCAGTTGCGACAGTTTCAAGAGGCAAAGTGGTTTATGAAGGCGGAACTTTCAATGTCACAGCAGGAGAAGGCAAATATGTCTCCCGTCCACCATTCCCTCCATATGTCTACAAACGAATCAGGCAGCGGGAGCAGGTTAATTAAACTAATAAATCTCTGTAATGCTTTGTACAACATGAGGATAACTAGCTCTTGGGAAAAGAGGTTTGGGGATTCAATGGTAATTTCCCTTACTAATCAAGATCTGCCAAGGTGGGAGGAAATGAAACTAAGGACTCAATTTTTATTGCTCTATATCTTACAGAAAAATGTGATAGAACTAGTTCCTGCTCTTAGAGTTGTCTGTACAGCTCACAGACTAAACCTGGGTACTTTTAAAAATAAACATGTGCCACTTGCAATAGAAGTGGACAAAGTTTTGGTCATGAGTAATTTGCCTAAGTTTTTTGGGGAAAGGAAGGGCAAAGAGGATAATCTGTGCCTGGACTTCCCAAAAAAGGGAGCCAGTAGCCCTAACTGTGAATTTTTCCAAAGAAAATCTTCCATTTCCACTGGACATGTAACTGAATGGAAGCAATTGCTCTAAAGGTCATGTAATTTCATAGCCAGCTGCAGTCTCACAGGCTAAAGGGTGAGAATTACACTCTTATAGTAGACTCATTCTGCATTTTTAACCTAGATAGATTCTCTTTGCACTGTTCCTCTTAGAAATGATAGTCATTTGCATTTGCTTGCAGTGGGATATGTATCATGCACAAAGTTATGTGTGCCCATGAGTCTATTTAATCCACTGGACACTAAAGATATTTGCTACTTTATTAATGAGGGCTGTTTATTATTATAGCACTTTCTTTGTTATGCATTATTGTCTCTGACTTTTAATGCAAAGTGAATGCCAGGTAATGATAATAGAAACTAGCTGATGAAAACAGATTTGTACTGGCATTACACCTGAAAAAAATTTTCATGTAAGAGAAGATGCTGCAGCTATTAAATGATAATTAGGTGCTTCCTCAAGCATGCCTGAGTTCTAGTGACTCCAGATCCTGTCATTTCTGCTAAAGCCTTATATACCATGTCAGAGGAAGTTTAGTATCAAAACTAAACTAAGATTTAAAAGAAATTTGATCATTATAGAATCCTGAAAGACATCAATGAATGTGACAGTTTCCATTTCAAATCCAAGCTGGAGAGAATGTTCCCTTCACCAAAACATCAAGTTCAGCATGCCTTCAAAAATTATTTTTTCAACCAGCTCAACCTCCTGTAGCCAGCAGCCAGGATTCACTTTGTTTCACTGATGTTCATTAACTTTTCTTACGTATTAAGAGCATTGCTGGAATATATGATTACTTTTAACAAAGAACAATTTTATAGCTTTAACATGCAGTGAGTCAGCTGGTCTGGAGAGCAGTTCTGGTGTGTTTGGTCTGTACTTGTTCTCTCCTGGGATATCCTGAAGTAGCTGCATCAAGATTAAGAAATATACAGAAGCAAACAGATTAATTGATTTATCATTGTGCTTTAGCATATTCTAATTATTTATGTGCCATAATCCCTGGGGTTTTACCACTCCAAGATCTGTTTGTAATAATAAAGGAAGAAGCATCCATAAAATGAGGTGGACCATGGTCAGTTGCTTCTTTAAAAAATGGGTCTGAAATTGCAGATTGGGCCACCTAGCTCCTGATGAAAGTTGAGAACTGAACAGTTTAATCCCAATGTAAGGGATCTTTTCAAGAGCGAGGTTTGCTGAAAGTGTTGGGATGCATAACATACAAAGCTGAGTTATATGACTGGTAGTTTCATTGGGTGGAATTAGCAATTGCAAGGGGAAGACAATTAATAAATGAAATATTTGAAATATTTTATTACAGGTCTGTCAGCCTGTTCCTGTTAAGAGAGAACCATATACAGGCGTGTTTGAGGAAACATCTGTCACACCAAAATAATAGGCTCATTCCCCAGTTCCGGCTCTTGCAGGTAACTGTCTCTTTTGATTAGTGAAAACTACTCAATGCTTCTCTGAAACTTCAGGAAAACAGAAGTGTAGCAGACCTCCTTCTAGCTTGTAATAGGCTTGTCTGAAATAAAACCTCTCAGAAGGTAAGTTGTCTTGGTTATCTTTAAATTTTATGAGAATGTGTGGCAGCCCAGATATAGAGGCCCTCTTTCTGGCTGGAGCCTCATTTTAAAAGTTCAGCTGAGAAAGGTAAATTAGCATTTAACTGCTGGACTGACACATGGGTATGAAAGCCCATAGAATCTTGAGTTCAGTTAGCACCCAGAGTACAAGCAAAGCATAAAGGTTTGGCTTAAAAACTTAGAGGGGGGAAAAAAAAAAAAAAGTGCTTGATGTGAAAGATTAAATTCTTCAGTGTCCCTGTGTTACAGACAATAACTCTCCACCAGTTGTACTATTTGGGTTAAGCTGATAGATCTGGTTTGCATGCACAACAGCTGTCTTCATGCAAGTAGAGGTGCTGCAGTTAAAACCAACTGTAGTTCCTTCTGTGAGCTGATTTACAGGCTAAGCCAGCAGGAAACAATTAGCTTCCATTTTCTGGGTTAGTTTTCTGTTGGTTCAGTGAGTTGAACTGTCTCCAGAAGAACCTAACAAGGATCAGTGCAGTGCAACATAAATGTGGGATAAGGCAGCTGGGGAGAAGGACTAGGCAAAGCCACCTCACTGTTTAATAAGGAGAAGAAAGGCTTCAGGAAAAAAATAAAATAACTAGTTAAGACCTTCAGCAAGCACAACTGAGCCACGATGCTGCTGTATGCTAACTGCAGCTGACATGTTGTCTACAACAGCAGGGTAGTTGATTAATATGGGTTGGGGGACAGTGGGTGGCAGTAAACATGACAAAATCCAGGCTGAATTTTTGGGTGCGTATGTGTACCAACAGTGAGACCAGCTAGCTTGAGAAATTATTTCCCAATACACGGTGTAAAGCCCCAATTCACACTTCACATAAATTGGGTCTGGTTTTAGTGCTAATTAATATGAGGACAGGAACAAACCTGAAGTGGGAGGGAGAAATTAGGTTCTCCACATTTCATTGTATCATTCCTTAAAAGCTACCTTACAGTGACCCTCATCCTGGGCCTGTGTAGCAGCGACACAGCGCAGCATCCTATTTGTTTTCCTCTGTCATAAGGGAGAAGGCTTTTGTAATAGAGAGGACTAAAGGCTAAAGCTGCAATAGAGTGAGGGAGCAATAACAATTCTTTCTAGCTCCTAGCACACTTTTTCCATTATTACCTCTCTGAGTAACAAATTGCAAAGCAGACATTTTCTTTTGAAAGATTACAGCATATTGTCTTTTTCTTCTCTGTAGATAAAAGCAAATGAAAATGACCCTGCTGTCTCCACCAAAGCAGTGCATTCTGGATCCAACAATCAATCAACAGACATCTTTCTCAAGAGCCAACATGAAACAACAGTAACCAATAAACATTATACTAAGCTTCCTGCATAAATGTTGTCATTGCAATTTATCTTTAAAAGAAATTTAAGGAACTGGAAAATTATGTTTAGAAAATAGAGTAGTAAAAAAATAATAACTACAGTTACAATGGGGCAGCAGCTCTGTACGTTCTTAAAAGCTGGTAAGTTTGGGGATAGTATTTCTTAATATTTACCTTTAGAAAGTATCAGCTAACATATAAAGTAGGCCATGAGCAATGGCCTTTAAGCACATTTTCTACATTCTTACTCTGTTAGGTCACAAGAGATGAATCCTGATTCTCTAATTTAATATGTTAGGAAGATCTCTGTTGTGCTTAGGGATATAGAGGATTTTGATAGTAGGTGCTGAATTTGATTTTTTCACAGGTCAGGTACAGAAAAATGCTGATTCAGGGGAACTGTCAGTATTTTAGAGCTGCTGCTACATCTCCCTGTTCCTGTCTTTAAAGAAGTTTATACATTTTCTCCCTGCCAGCTACACGGCCACGTGTTTATTGGTGTGTTCAAGTGTTTCTTTTGTTACACTCTAGGTAAACCTGTGCTAACCATTTTGGTGAACTCACCTACAAAACTGTTTTTTGTTCAGGCTTTATGGAGAGACACACAGCTGTAACTGTAAGGCTTGTGAAGTGAGATCACCATTCAATTACAAAAACTTTTTACTAAAAATGTGATTTTTTTTCCCAATGTCACTAATACTTTGGTTTTTGTAGGATAGGATTCCTAATTAAAAAAAATAAAATCTCATTTGCTCAATTAATCTGATTCCCCTTTTGACAGGTAACTGTATTCTTAGAAGCATGATTTTTTTACCATGTCTAGACAGGTTTTACCTCAGAAACCTAGAATGTTGTTTAAAATTGCATTTTCACATGTGACAGCTTTTCAAGCAACAGTCACTGGGAAATATTTAAGAGAGAAATTATGCAAACACAAAAACCTGCATAGTGAGTTTATTGTCCTATGTGTAGACACAGTATAACCTGTACTACCATGCAACTCATTATACCCATTTTGTAAACTGAGCTCTCCAAACCATGAAAGTGAAAAAATGTATAAAAAATGTGAAAAAATGTATAAAAAATGTGAAAAAATGTGTAAAGTTTATAGGTTTCTTACAAATTTTTATTAGATTAGAAATGAGGAAGGTTCTCCCTGTACAATTACCAGAGTTCCTTATCCCTGTGTTGGAATTTATTGCTCTGTACCATTTATTATTCTCATCATAGGAGGTCACCTTTGGATTTTGTTCTTATCAAATACCTACTTTTTAATTTCAATTACTGTTTTAACTATTGTGCAGAGGTCATGAAAAAATAAATAAATAAATACCTGCATATTGTGAACTGGGATTTATACCAAAGCATCTACTGTATTTTTACATCTTTGAATGCAACAAGGTCTGGAGCCTGTCAGGTTTGTGATATTTATGAGTACTTGTTTTGCCATGACACATGCTGGCCCTGAATCTTGCCTCTAGCCACAGGGTGCCAACTAATAGCCTTTCAGAATCTATGTGACATAACAGAATTTCAGCTTTGCTATTCAGGTGCTACTACTACTAAAGTTGAGACTCTCAGGCTCCAAATCTCTGCAGATCTTTTCCCACTTACGTGGGGTACATTATAATGGTAGGATCTTCACAGGGCTAGAATTCTGAAACTGTCCATGCCCCTGTTCCAAACACAGCAGTACTGAGTAACAGCAGAGCCAAATACAGTGGGATTTTAAAAATTATTATTTAATTTAATTGTTCATTTGGGATGCAATAGGATTGTAAAATGCATTTATGTCAGCACAGGTCCTGAACTGGAGCACTGGAAGGAGCACTGATTCATGTCTCAGTCCTACCTCAGTCTCTAGACCTTGACAAGACTTCTGCACTTGTCCTACAACATCATCCCAGCTCTTGCTTGCTCATTCTTACAAAGTTTTAGCTGAGGCTGTGCTTTCACTGTTGTCCTAAAGCAACAGATGCCCCACACTAAGTTGGAAGACTGGTTTAGAAATTACTTCTGAAGCCTACACTGTTCCCTTGAGCCTTTCACATGGAAGACAGCAATTGCTTTCCCAGATTTTTCAGAATCCTCCCACCTTTATCCACAATCCTGAGGCTTCTCTGGGGCCTACTGAGAAAAATGTTTGACTTCTTTGATTCTTTCTTCAGTCCATTGAACACTTGGTAGAGTAGGCTAGATCTGATTGCTTTGAGAGAAGGCATTGCTGCATTAAAACCCCTTTTCTCTGAAGCAGTACATCTCAGTACAGAGGAGCTGAGGATCTGTCTTGTCAAGGCTGAAACACAAAACAGCCTTTTCTAGCTTAGCACTTCCCTTTGGAATTCTGCTGGTTTCACCTCTCTCTAGTTTGGAAAGGTTGAAGGCTCAAATTCACTGTTAAAGCATGGGAAAAAATCTCTGTTAAACCTATTTTCATCACACTTCCTAGCCGGATAGAAATTTGAGATCTTCAGTACTCCATTCTCCCTGGTGACATAGATCCCAGGCCCAGGAGCAGAGAGGGGATTTGGGAGATCTGATCCTAGCATACCTAGTTGCTTTCAACCCCATCATGTGCAGAAAAGTCCTCGCAGCCAGAAAGTGTTTGTTGCCCTGTTGCCTGTTGGCTCTCATTTCACTGCCTGCAGAGAGCTCATGGCTGTGGCACAAGCACCCACACCTGCAGTTCTTCTCTCGTCAGCCTGAAACACCAGGGGATCCCTGCAGAGCAGCAACCCTGGGGCGTGCGGCTTCACTGGGCCACCGGGGGGCAGCGCTGGTCTGATGGATCAGGGATGAGATGAGGAGGAAGCTACTCTCATGCTCAGCAGCGCCGTGAAGCATGTTCACATGTTTTGAAGTCTGTGTCCATAAAGTCGACAAGAACATTCCCATTTTCAGGCTTTATTTCAGCAGCAGCAGGGAGTGATCTTTTGATCCTCGCTTTCCACTTTTGAGACGTGAACAGATCTAGAGGAAAGGCTTTACCTCTTCTTTTCGTCTTCAATTGCAAGAGCCTCCGGGCTATTTAAACTGTGAGGAAAACGCAGTGAGTCAGTGTGACAATACTGATCGAGCAGGGAGTGGGGGGAAACCAGTTGTAAACCCAGCATCCTCTGACTCTGCACACCCAGCTGCCCACACAAAATGCTGCGACAGATCTATCCTTGAGGAAAACAAGCCTTTAGCTTAGCTGTGCAGCCAAGTTGAAGGTGGTGATAAAGAGAATTCCACAAACACGGTTGTTGTAGGGAAATATCCGTGATTGTATTGTGCTTCAGAGGGTCAGGAGCACTAGCATGTCTCTCTGAATTATCTTCGCAAGACAATCAGGGGAGCCTTTCATTAATTTTACAAACCAGGTTTTATCCAACTGGGGGATATTTCACAGTAAATCAAACAGATTCTACACTAGTGAAGGATGTTTAATAAAGGAAGTTGAGCTCTTGTGAGCTGGGGGAAAGAAAGGGTGAATGAGTCAAAAGCCAAATCCAGACTTCTTCTCACTCTTGTTTTGAGTACTGGTGGCTTATGAGTACATTTCTGACAAACCCGAGGGAGAACCAGTTTGAGACAATGCCCAGTAATGTGAAAGATACTGAAAATCTCCATTAAGCAAATATAAGAATACATAAAATCCTTAATTTCAGCTGTACCTGTAGTTCTCTTGTGCTCAGCAGAGAGAAGAAAAATACATGCTTTTTTGTATGAGGAAGAATGATCAATTGGAGCAGAAGAAAACATACCAAACGTGGAAAGAAGATTTTGAATGACAAATACAGGGGAAAAGAGCCAAAATAAAATGCAGAAAATGTGAGGAGAGGGCAGACAAGAAGAGGAACAAAAATAATTGTGGATGGAATACTTTTCGTTGTAACTTGTAGACTTGTTTTTCTAAAAAAAAAGGAAGAAAAGAAAAAAAAAGGCAAAAAGAACAATGTAATAATGTGGTTCAGGGTTATGGTAAACAGAGAGGCCAAGGCAATAACTGAGCTGCTTGCAGAGGAGACAGCTGAAGATAAACAAAGCCTTGGACTTCTCCAGCTCATGGGACAGAAATAAATGGGAGAAAACAGAAACCAAGTAAGGTCTGCAGAGAATGAGAGGCATGTCTCTGTGTAATGCTGGGGCAGACAGACCTGCCCTTTCATCTGTACATCTAAAGGGGTAAGAACAGTTCTACTACTGACATAATCCGCAGCGTCTTTGAGGCACCAAAGGTGTGTTTTAGAATTTTTAATTTTTTTTCATGTTTTGTGCAGAATAGGCCATTTCCCCTGGTAACCAGGTTTAGGGAGATGGGAAAGAGTAAACTTATCTCCTTTGTGTGCCATTCAGCTCAGCTTCAGCACACGTATGTGCATGTATATGGTCATTGAAGCAAACAATACATTAATCCACTCAAGTAATGACAACATTATTTCTCAGATGGCACCCTGGTGCTGGCACAGTGCATTCACAAATTAACACAAGCTTTTGGTGTGCATGTCTAATACATTCTCTGCAATGCTTTGTGTATAAGTGGCCAAATCACAGAGTTGCTGGGGCTGGCAGGTGCCTCTAGGGATATCTATTCCAGCCCTGCTCCTCTGAGTTGGTCAGAGCCATGTCTTAGTTGGGTTTATAGTATCTCCAAGAATGGAGACTCCACAACCTCTCTGGGCATCCTGTTCCAGTGTTTGACCACCCTCACTGTTCAAAAGTTTTTCTTACATTTATGTTTGGAAATGACTTGTGGGGGAAATTGCTCTATCACCTTCCCACAGATTGTGGTGAGGCTCACAAACCTGTAGTTTCACAGAATCTCCTTCTTGCCTGTGGGAGTGGTATTAATTTTCTTCCATTCCTCAGTAACATCTGATCACCATGACCTTTCAAAGTTAATGAAGAGTTGCCTTACAATTACATCAACCAGCACCCTCTGCAACTATCAGTGCCTCCCATTATGTCCTATGGACTTAAGTAGGTCCAGTATGTTGAAGTGCTCTCTAACCATGTCATCCTTCATGAGGGGTTAAGTCTTCCTTGCTCCAGACTTTCCCTCTGGTCTGAGGGGCCTGGTATGGCTGGAATCACTCTTAGCTGTAAAGACCAAGACAAAGTAGTTCCTTAGGCCCTGTCTTTTATCACCAGTAGTGGGGTCTAGCATCTAGGAAAAATATTTACCAGAGCTGAACATTTTGTCCATAATTACATTTAGCTTCCCCAGATAGACTGGCTTTTATCACTGCCATGACACTTGCCAATTAGGGTGGAAAACCTAAGCAATACTCTGTAAGGTGCTCTACTGGTTGGAGCTGGGAACCCCAGCATTCAGGTACAACACTGCTCTGTAAACTCTGCAAGGTCTCACCTGTCCTAACCAAAATCAATGGCTCTTTTTCATAATCAATCATTCCCACTAGACTTAGTTTCCTTAAGTAAATGCAAAGTACATGATAGGGTCCTGAGAGCATGCTCCAGAGCTCAAAATCCTAAGATTTATGTATCTCTCCCAACCACTGACCCTTTTCTGAGTCATTTTGATGAACCATTCCATTGTGCTGAAAAACTTTTGCTTGCTGCTTGCAGAACAGAAACAAAAGGTATGCTGGGTGGCAACACACCATCAAAGAGGAAATGTATGAAACCCCAAAACAAATTTTGCCTCCTGTTGCCAAGTGAAGTGGCTAATGTTTTGTGGTAGTGCTGTCAATCAGACCTGACCCTGCTTTGGGGCATTGTAATCAGTAGGAGATCAGGGTTCCTCACCAGTCCACCCTTTTAGACTGGAAGGAGCACATGCAGCTCCTACCAGCAATGAAGTTGTCAGAACTCAGCCAAAATTATCAGCTCTTTCTGACATTTTACTCTTCCTGTTTCATCTGCAATGATAACAAAAGTGAGTTAATATATCCTCTTGTCAATAGCATCAGGACAGCAAGTCTATTTTGTGGAAGCGGATTTAGAGCCACCTTAATTTTGCTGCTTTTTCATCAGAAATCTTCTTGCTACTGGTCCTTGACAGTAGTACCTGGGATACAAATGAATTCTATTGTTATCCAGGGCTGTCCCACTTTAGCGAAAGGGGATATAGTCAGGCCACTCAGCACAACCCTCAGTACTCCATGGCTTCAACCTAGCATCTCATTTTCTAGGGACAAATTGTTGGTACACCAGCAACCTGAGCCACCTGTGGAGGAGTGAGGATTCATTTGGAAGACAGAAAGAGAAAAAGACTTGATGGTTTTCACTGTTTCAGGTAAAATGTAGTTTCTGACACTTGCTACTGGAAAGTTTTAAATAAGCCTTTATTCATTCAGATAACAGAGGCATCGATCAATGGCTGTCCTGGGCCCATGCACATATTATAGGGGAACAGGCTAAAGTTTGCTATTATGCAACCTAAAGAAAGAAGTTGGCTGTGGTTGAAAATCTGTAGTACACTGCCTGTTGGGTGGATTTTTAGCTCTACACTAAACGTCTGGTGCCACATCAGTCAAGCCACTCGTATGACTTTCTGCTTTCAGTAGTTGTTCATGTATTGTATGAAAGTCACAGCACCAATGTTAGCCAAATAGGTGAAGCACTCAGTATTAGTTTAATTTAGTTTCATTTAAGTCAGTGGTGGCTTTAGCAGCATAATTAAGCCCCTTTTTGCCACTTCTGCAAGCTCCCTTGGATTGCAAGATTAGAAGCATTGTTCATCTCTGCTTGTATGTCCTTACATCTCAAAATCAGCTTGTTTGCACCCACAGCACCTGATCGCTCTGTGTTCTAGCTCACATGAGTATCCTCACTTCTGAGCATGCTACATTAGCTCTCTCACAATCATCAAAGACATGGGACAATCTGCACTAGCAATACAGTCTATGGATATGTGAAAATGGGAGAATAAGACCAAGGAATTCCAGGTGGGAGGCTAGAGTTAGAAACTTCTTAAAGATGAATTAGCAAAAGTAAGTGGGCAGTCTGAGGTCTGAGGGAGAGTTCAGCTGGGGAAGGTTGAAAGAGCGCATAGTGCCCTGCAGAAGATATGGCTACAGATGGAGGAGCAGATGTATGGAGTCAGGGATGGGAAAAAAACAGGCTGAAGGGTTTGGGGCAGTTGAGAGTCGAGAAATAGATTGAAATGTCTAGAAACATCTTAGCCCTCTAGTAAGGTTCTTGGCCAGCCCAGACAGCCTCTGTTGTGTCTTCCATCTTCAGTGTCTTGCAAATATGAAGACAAACCTGTTGCTGCCCTTATGTCCTCTGTTATCTCAGCTCAAAGAGGTTTGTGATGTAGTCCTAAAAAGCTCCAAGCTGTTTGCTTTTACACAGAAGAGACCCTCCACAGATTTCTAAAGTACCAGACAATGCAGACCCCAAGTTGAAAAATTAGTGTTAATGCAACCCAGAGCTCTCTGTGATGGAGAGCACATTATCTCCTGTGGCTTCTTTTCCACACTCTTCCAAAATACTGATTAGCCTCTGAGCCTATTTTTTACATTTTAAAATTGACATTCCATAAGAAAAATGGGTGCAAAATACAAGTTGCTACAGAACTAGAGCATCCAAAAATTCAGCTGGTCTCTCTCACACAGTGTTGTCATTTGCCACAGTCCATCCTTTCTTCCTTACTGCCTTTCTCACCTTGAGTATTGGAAACCAAAAGTTGACCTGAAAAGACAGAAATATGACACCATGATCCTAGTACTACTTTGTTAGAGATTGCTCAGCTACTAACATCTTGTATAGTCAGTATGGAAAGCTATTAATAAAAGCAAACAAGCAAACAAACCCGTGTCTCTGTCTGAAGTGATCTGGAGTTGCCATAAGTATATGCATTTGCGTTTGTTATTTCCACTAGTGTATATATACATGTATGTACAGGCCAAAAATTTTTGCACACAAAAAGTTCTGGTTTCCAATGGTACTTGCAGTTGCAATCCCACTGTGCTTCACAGAAATATATCACCTTTCATTTTGCTAAGCAACAAATGAACAACTTTCTCAACATCAAGAGGCTGCTCACAAATGCCTATCGTTTGCTGTCTAGATTGCAGGAAT